GCAGGTAGGAAAGCAATCGACTCCAATGCGCTCGACGCTCGATGAATTTCCAACGATTACAACACAAAGACACTACCATTCTACTCCATCTTTGTTTCACTTTCAACAGCAGTGTTCACTTGTTAGAAATATAGACTGTTTCTGTTCGTAACCCAGCTCTGTCACGCGATATCACAAAAACACTGGCAAAATTCCAGCGTTCGCTAACGTTACGCGGTCAATATAAATGTCTGCCGGAATCAGGAACCACCTAGCGGCGCTATTCGTGACGTCATTTTTGCGCCAAAATCAAAACTAAACAGTACGTGTACGCCGTGTACGTGTAAATCATGGCAACGTTAGAAATGAGAAGTTATATGTGTACCTGGTAAGTCTTTTCGTTTACTTTTATTATGCAAACCATAGATAATTTGCACTACAGTAAAAACCCGCATAAAAGAACAAGTGGATTAAGAACTGTACATTTCTCAGGCTGAAATGTGGTAAAAAAATATCATATACATAAGAACACAATCAGCCTGAAAAATGTACAGTACTAAGAATTTATGTTCTAGGCATTGCACATATAGAGTTTCACAGCAGGTACATGGGAATTTCCAGGGTACATTTAGCAAATGTTTTTAGACTTGGCTAATTGATGTATAAACTAAATGGCTCTTACCTTCTGTCAATCACATTTTTAATTTGCTGCAGACACAACATGCTGACATGAAAAAATGTTGTGGTTGCACATTGATTTCATCTGTTGGTATTCTATGCAGTACAGTACAGTATTAATTTTTAGAAACAATTTTTAAGAACACCTTAAGAACATTTTCAGGCTGATTATGCAGAAAACACCCGATATATAAGAACAAAGTCAGCCTGAACCCCAAAAACACGTGTTCTTTTATACGGGTTTTTACTGTATACTATAATTTTGATATACTCTTATTCAATTGACTTAAATATAATTTTCTTTTAACTCCTGAACTTTTATTATGCAAACCATGCATAGATAGAGCCTACTTTGGATTTTCTTTTTACTCCTGAACTTTTATTATGCAAACCATAGATACTTTGGATTTTTATGCACTATACTATAATTTTGATATACTCTTATTCAATTCACTTACATATAATTTTCTTTTTATTCCACAAAGATTGAAAGAGAGCTGGTTGTTGATGAACAAGGTTTTCTAATTGTACAAGATGTTTTCACGAGCTTTATGAAGTCTTTCTCTAACGCAATCGTAGGCCTATCAAAGGACCTTTTTGGAAAACATATAAAATTATTATTTCCTGGCATTACTTTTTCTACAAAAAGAAAGGGTAAAAATCATGTAAGAATATATCGTGGCATCTCATACCGGCACCAGCAACCACAAGACACGATTAGCATGCATGACATTGCATTGCGAATAAAACCTTGGTGGCAAGTAGTAGCGAAAAATGACAGCAGTATCAAAATTATGTCTTCTGTTGGTATTATCAACCAGCAGAGAGTTGTTAAAGAATTAGAAGTGTATGGAAACGGTCACTGGAATTTAAGCTTCGGAGTGGTCCGTGTGCTGACGAGTGGAGAAACGAGCCTGTTGTCACCTGGGGATGGCATGTTTCGTGTTCGGGATGTGGACAACCTACTCCTCATGGTCGATAACGCAGAAATGTGCAAAGGATTGCCATTGGGAGAGTCAACTTCAGGCCTACAGCCAGGTGCTCCTACCTTGTTTTGTCTTAATTTATTTTATAAATTTTACTTGTCAATACCATTTAAATATTTTGAAATATAATTTTACTGGACTGCAGTCAGCATTAAAGCATTCGAGGAGCAGTGAAATCCCGATTTTACGCACCCTGATTTAATGCGAATTCGGATATAAAGCAATAGACCTTTTTTTGCTCTTTCAAAAACTGAAAAATATTTTGGTGAGTTAAGCCGGCCTTAGGTCGAAGTGACTATCACTATCAATAGAGGGTAAACGTGCACAAAAACGGGTCAACTAGGGCAAAAATATGGGTGTTTTGGGATTTTAGGTCACCATTGGATCAGTTTATACACTGATTATCTGCAACCCGCTTGTTTCGCAATAACATTTCACGGACTTCAACGATCACATAATTATAACGGGGCCATACTGTAATTAGCATAAAACAAAATAGCCGCAAACAAACCATATTTCTCTCTCACACTTGAGCGTTTCCAGACAGCGGAAGGAGAACCAGAAGAGATTCGCCAGCGTGCTCGCACTTGCTGTTGGCTAAAACCGGCACTTGCACACGGCACAAGCTGCCGGGCATGCAATAGACATCTGCGTTATGTCCGGAAGGCTGCATCGCTGAAGGCACTTCACATTTCACATGATGCCAGTACTGCACACACAGATGCTGAGTGGAGCCTCGTAGCTGAGGACGACGCTGATGTTGCAGCCATTGTGGAGAAATATCTGCCACAGATAAACAGCCACAGTTTGCTGCGGAATCTACTACTTAACCAAGAGCAGAACCTTGGTCGAGCTACCAGAGGCAGAAGGTGGAATCCCGAGTAAGCTGCACATATATTGTGGCTGTCACACATATCACAATATTATCTATACTGTCTTGTTGTTGAACAAACTTCACAGGCACATTGTTATACTCATGTGTGTTATAAGTGTGTTATAGTGCTCATGTAATCCATTGCACAAAATCGTAATGTTACTTTTATCAGAATACACTTCAACGATACATTTTGTCACTATCTAACACATAGGGTTGTCAAGGCATGTCTGTCGCTATGGGCCAGCAATCCTCGCACCTACAAGAAGCTGTCGTCACTTGGCATGTTAGTTACGATGCCAAGTGGACGCCTACTTTGTTATTATAAAAACTCGGTTCACCAGAAGCCTGGACTCAACAACGATATGCTCCTCTGGATGTATGAGGAAGCAAAGTCTAAGCAAGTGCCACCGCATGGCATGACTGGAGGCATAGTCTTCGACGAGATGTCGATTCAGTCTGACCTTCAGATAATATACTCTGAAGGTCAAGTGAAGATTATCGGGCTGGTCGACATGGGAGCTGAATGCTCTGCTATGCAAGTACTGAAACAGGGTAAGAATATGTTAATTATTTAGTTCTTTCTATGCTTGTTAATCCAAATCAAGGTAAATTTTGTGACATATTTAGCCTCATTACTCTCAATTTAAAAACATGTTTTTTTGCAACAATTTACTTTTCTTCAGGTAAAGCATCAGCGCAACTCGGCACACATGTCTTGCTGTTTATGTTCCAAGGGGACAGTGGCTTTCGCTTCCCGTTTATGCATGTGCCGACGACAGAAGCAACAGCACCAGATATATACGTTCTCTTCTGGAAAGCTGTGCGGGACTGATTGAATAGGGGTTCAGTGTGAGTAAATATTTTGCGTGCCATACAAAATATTCTTCATAGAAAGACTGTTAGTCAGCAAACATATTTTTGACAACAGTAGATCACAGTATGGGTCAAAAGAGAACGCATGATAGGTTTTAAATGTATGGACTCGGATGGATGGATCTACTCAATGCAATACAAGGTATAACTTAAGGATACCACACTTGGCAGGAATGAACTTCTATACTAACTTCCATATAATGACAGCTAATCAGCGAGTGAAAGCTTACAATGTAAACCCTAACCTCTAGAATTAAAAAAAAATTAACCTTTGCAGGTAAACCACGCTTGCTTCGATGGTGCTGTCCATAACAGGTCGTTTCTGAAAATGCACTACAATGGCTCCGATTCTGCAGCAGTGTCAGCATCCTTCGCCACACACAATCCCGTCGGGGATATGCCAATCGTCATGATGATAGATCCGAAAGTATAGTACTGAAACATACATATATTCATATCGCAGATCATTTCAGATAAAATCTTTCCCACAGAAATCAGTTCATGTACAAGATGTTATTTTCTAGGCTCAGAATTTAATAGCCTTAAAATATTGTGTTTTTACACTTTAGCACCTCTTCAAGAAAATCAGAAATAATATCATCAAACGTGGATTTGGAATAAATAGCACAAGACTACTGTCGCATCAGGCAGGGTTTATTACCTGGCAAATGTGGGTCAAAGCCTATCAGTGGGACCGGGCAGCGAACCCGAGCGAGGTCTCAAGGATACACCATGTCCTGACAGATGAGCACATCTGGCCAAACAATGGTCAGAAAATGAGAAACAAATTGGTAGAAGACGTCCTCGACAAGGAAATGCTTCATCTGTTCAAAGTAAAAACAAATTTATCTTAAGCACGGTTAGATTTTTGTAATATAGTAAACATCATTCACAATTTGCATTATACTTATAGTCTGTTCAACAGCTATTACGTGATGCCGCATACTACAACATTTTTCGGACAAGCAAGAGTCAGATCTGTATTTATGATAAAAAACAAAATTTGTGAGTGCTAGTAAATTACGGTGATTGCTGGTAAAAAAAAACCTGCTGTTACCAGCGCTATGGGCAGTGGGCCGGTACAGACTAAATCAGAATTTCATGCCCCGTACATGTGCATCACAATTATTTTTTTATAATAATTATTATATAATTATTTGTCGTAATAATACGATCACTTTTCACTAGGCTTACCAGAAAGCTGAAGGTCGAAATGGAGATTCGCTCAACGGTGCGATACAGCTGCTGGAGGCAACCAGTGTTCTGATTGCAAACTTCACCGACACGCGTCCTATAACATCAGTAGAAGACGATCGGCTCCAGTGCAATGCGAGATCACTGCAATGGTTCACATCATGGGAGGACGCCGTGATGAGCGATCTACAGGACACTGCCAACGTGAAGCGAAGACAGTTGATGTCACAGGAGACACGCTTCGACATGAAGTCCACCATTCTGGGCTTTGAAAGTCTTGTTTGCCAGAAACAAAAAACCCATCCGGGTACAAGCATAAACGCTGCTCGAGTCAACAGCGAGTCAGTTGAAAACATCTTCTGCCAGCAGAGAGCCATTTCGCATGGGGCCAATGACAACTCCAATTACAAGCAGTTTATGTATGGTATGAACACCATCATATTAACCGCAGACACTGTTAACAACAGCCGTTGCAACACTGGAGTAGCAGCAGAGCCCTTCTCATTTCGAGTGCAGAAACCCATCAATCCGAAGAAATAGAAGAGTGATGTCTAGCGGAACACAAGTATTATTCTCCAGGTACGAATACTTGTTAGAGTTATGGTTACACAACAATTAATCTATTGTTTACTGTTGCATTTTAAAGCATTTTAGGCATGTCCAGGGCTCGTCACTTGGAGAAACTTCAGAACAATTTTTATCATCGAGTCAGCCAGCACATGCTCTGTGTAGCCAACCTCCACATACGTCACAACCAACACAGGGGGCGTCCCCCACATCCTTGCTGCATGTTGGGCAGATGTAAGCCGGTTCGTGTACGATATTTCGTTCTGGCCTGGAGCGCTTTCCTTTTTCTTTCCCTTTTCCAGCAGCTGGCCTTTTTGTTGTAGATTGTTCAGATTCTATTATTGGGGTGATTGTAGGGTGTTGAAGGCCGGAGGGACCAGGCTGTACGTGGCTCACCACAAATCGCTGGCAGGACATCTGCAGGCGAGCTGATGGGTAAAGATGCTCTAAACGCATTCGGTTCTGACATGCTGTCTACTGCAAGTATTTTTGCGCTGAGGTCCTCCGCAAGTTGTGTTTTCAATCTCCGTGTTTGCCATGGGAAAGTGTAGGCCCTGAAAAAGGTTTTTAGCTCTTCCTTTGAATATGTGCGAGCAGAGAAGAAGTTGGGGTTGGATCTTAAAATGCTCTGTAGGTGAAGATGCGTCAGTTGTTTCCTTTCTGATGTGTCTGTGGCAATTGTGGCTGAAGACAGTTTAGCAGTTAGGTCTTTCTCTTTCTGGTGTCTCATTAGAATTTGCCGCCTGTGGGACTCCATTTTCTTTTGACCGTAGGAACTGATGAGTTCTTTTCTGAAGTAGTTGCTTGCAACCAAGACAAATGAATGGATGATCTTCCGAAAAAGAGTATCAAGACTGGCACTTCCTGTAACATCCGTGTAAAGAAATAATGCCCTCCATGTCTTCTTCAACTCTGCTGTTTCGAGAAGTTGTGCTTCAACAACAGAAATGACACCATGTTGCTCGACATCGAACCGGCCTTTGGTTTCCAAATGCACACGGTGTTTCTCTAGTAGCAAGAAAAACCGGAAGGCATTGTCACTGATGTTGTACAGTGACTGTCGTATATTCTGCTTCCGAGCCGTCTCTTCCAGTGTCGCTGGCATCTCGCTTGTTTTGTGAAGATCTGCATAGGATGCAGTGAGGCAGTCCAGATAGTTGAGTTTTTCAATTGTACTCTTGCAAAGCTTTTTCTGATGTGACCCTTCAGCATACATGAGGTGTCGCCAACTGTTGCAATATTTAGATGTTAGTTTGGCTACACATCGACCAGCCACATACCGTATCTTGCCCATTCCCTCTGCGCTTAGCTGTAGTTCATCCAGTGGAAGAATGTCAAGCTGAGCTTGCTGCTTTTTCACGGCATGAGAAGATGCTGTTTCGAATACTGCGAGACCAATTATGTCGGCGGCTGTGCAGCTGAACAGCTTTTGGCTGACATCTAGCTGTGCCTGGTTACATCTCATCAGTGATGCGCAGCTTTGCATGTATATGTCAGAATCCAGAAAGCTGTGTCTGCTGGTGTAGAAAATGCTAAGATCTTTGCATTTGATTGGTGTTTCTGGCTTGAGTTGCGATAAATGCTGCGCGAAGCTATTACAAATACCAATCCAGTTTTGATTAATGAAATTTTGCATCCTCTCTTTTCCAGAATAAAGTAGAGTGTCACCAATGGCAATCAACTGCAGCTGAGTAGGAGTCACCGGATCTATTGGCAGCAGCTCGGCTAGCAAGTCATCGACTGACAGAGGACACTGGTCAGGGAGTATCTCCCGAACGCTTTCTTCAAGGCATCCAATCTCCATCGCAGTGTCTTCTTCTGCTGCCTGCTGGACCGTCACATCTGGAATGGTGGCCAACATTTCGTCGATCTCTTGCATTTCGCTTTCAGAAAACGAGGAGCCATCACTGTCATATGCTGTTGGTGCCACTGCCAACACATCTGATGTCACTGCGTGCGGTGTTTTGCAGCAACTCAGGTCATCTTGCGCATCGCTGTTTATGAGATGTTCGTAAAATTCAGTTACCTGCAAGGGATGTGGAGTCACGCAGTGTGGATTGAAGCCGACCACTCGAAGTCCTTCCCTGCTGGTTACTTTTTTGACAGCGATTCCGAGTTGGCCTGCTGCAAAGATGTGCTGGCAGTGCACTTCCACTGATGTTAGAGTCATGCCTTGACATTTGTGCATCGTCATTGCAAACGCAAGCCGTAAGGGTAGCTGCTTCCTCGTTGCAATAACCTTCTGATGTGCAGGTGAAAAAATTGAAGAAAGGCAAGGACTAATGATGATTGCCTGTTGATGACCCTTGACTTCCAAATTTACGAGAGGGCCATCAGGTGTGATCGCAGTAACTGTCTCTAACAGGCCATTGAAGTATTGTTCTGAAATGTTCGCAGTCAGAACAACAGGTGCACCGATTTTGAGGGCAACATATCTGGGAACTGTAGATCTTCTTAATGTTTGCCTATCTCCAGAGTCGGTCGACGTGTACAAGGTCTGCTTTCCTTGCAGCTGGCTGACCTTTTCTGCATTAAATACATCAGCGTCAAAATTTCTCGAGAAAAGGACAAGCTGACCTGACGCCTTCAAAGGGCGAGCTACCTCAGCCAGAAGAGAGCAAAAGCCTGGGGATAGAGCTTCACCCCTAGCTAGCTCGTTGATGCATGTGATCAGGACATCATCTTTCTGGCGAAGTACCTCAACAAGCTGCAGCTGGTGTGGGATGCAGATGAAGGCGTGAGACAGGAAGCAGTAGTCACCATCGTCACCATACTCTGGACTTGGCACTGGAGGCAGCTGATAGAAGTCTCCAGCCATTATTATTTGGAGGCCACCTAAGAAGAAATCGGATGACCTCAGTTTTCTGCAGATAATTTCTAAGCTCTCCAGTGTTCGCTGGCTCAACATGGAGACTTCATCAATGAGGATGGCATCAACGGACAGAATGTTGTTTTTCACTGCCGTGTATGCATCATCAGTGTTGATGAGGTGTGCTAGATGAACTCCGCTAAAACAACCATCTCCCATTCCAGCCCACTTGTGAATGGTGGAGCCTCCATACTCCAGAAGCGCATTAGCAGACACACCTAAAAGTGAGAAAAATACATAAATACATATCATAAAAATTATGCTAAATTTAATTTTAATTTTGCTTTAAAGGTTTTCAAACATACCTATATACTTATATCATTTCATTTTGCAAATAAACGTTGACTCACACGCTAATGTTTCTGCATCATACTCCATATTCTGCTCTATTTTTGCTATTAGATTTCAATACGACTTGCCAGCAACATCTTCTTTTTGGATCCCAGACATTCAAATGGCTCAATGTTTGCATTTTTTACGGGTTACGAAAGTTTTATATTGGGCTAAGTTTCATGTTATTAATCACTTCGCAGTAGCCTAGTAGTAGTTCATACCTGTTGTGCTTAAAACAGCAACCGTTCTCCCCCAGCTTCTCAACGTTGCCGCTATTTCTTTCCCCAGGTATGTCTTTCCTGTACCTGAAAAATCGTGCACAAACTTATTCTTAGAGCAAATATTATACCACTAACATATCAGTTTAAAATGTTGAATCTCAATTTGCAACGATAATTCAGATAACGTATCTCGCTGACGCTTAACCATTTCCTAATTTCTAATATTATGTCGTGTATATGTATCCAGAGTCCATAATAGTGCTTATTATCTCAATTATGGATTCTTGATATATGTTTCTATATGTTAGTTCTAATCTCAATTTGCATATTTATTTCAGATATCGTATGATGGTAAACTATTTTGTAATTTCTAATATGTCGTGTTTACATATATATACAAATATATATAATTATAATATATAGATATTATTGGTTCTAATCTCAATTCGCAAATTAAGGTCAGGTATCGTATAATTTGGCTCGGCTGACACTAAACTATTTTCTAATTTCTAACATTAATTCATGTTTATATATATAATTGTTATATATATATATATATATATCAAGGGTATATATTAAGAGAATATATATTGTATATTGTTTCAAGAGCGTCTTAATAATTTCTAATATGTCGTGTTTACATATATATATATAATATAAAGACATTATTGGTTCTAATCTCAATTCGCAAATTAAGGTCAGGTATCGTATAATCTGGCTCGGCTGACGCTAAACTATTTTCTAATTTATAATATTAATTCATGTTAATATATATAATTGTTATATATATATATATATATATCAAGGTATATATTAAGAGATTATAAATTG